AAACGGATGGAGTGGGATTTGTTAGAATTTTCCAAATTTTTATTTAAAATATGCAAAACATATGTGACGAACGCATTCGAATATTTCAAACTTATAAAGGAAAGTGTAGGAGAAAGAAGTTCCTTGAAAGTAAAATTTGTTTAATTGATTAAATTTAATCCGAACTTTTTCACTAATATAATTCGGATAAAAGAGGAAGAAAATAGTTTTGAGTTAATTTAATATACTTATGCATTTCAACAAGTTCGTTCTTAAATGACTTCATCTAATTAATAAGAAAATTTGTATAAAAAAAATAAGTTTAGTTACTGAAATTAAATGAGTATATATTGTTTCGTTATATATTAATTTTAATTATTAAATTGATAATATAAAGTATTATCTACTTATTATTGTTTGTTATTATTTATTCTGAATTTGATGTGGATGTTTTATTCTTTGTTCTTTATTCAAGTATTTATTTTGAGAGATCGCTGTAAATTAGATTCATTGAATTCAATTCGTGTTTGAACTGAATCCGTCTGGACTCACAAAAGTTTCTATACAGAATTTCTATCGAAAAAGTCAGTTCATAGGAAACCATTATCTAATTAACAGGTTATTCAGTCTGTTGATTGGTTTTAACTTTCATTAAGTTAATTAAGATGTAATATGATTTCTTTGGTAGCCGATATCTTTTTAGCAATAAAGTTTAACACATATATTTAATAAATTATTTGTGATAAGTTATGAAAGATGTTTTATAGGTTTTATTACTTATCAGTACTAAATAAGCATCAATCAATATCAAAACTATTAATTCTTCAAATTAACTTAATTTCTATGTTATCTGAATCTGCCTTTATTTTACAAACAAATCTAAAATACTAGCAAAAACTAGAAAAACTAACTATTCGAAAATTTAGTAGAAGTCAGTCAGCAATCAATGCTTAATTTTATTTATCTATTTTTGCTTGTTTTTAGGATCATTTAGTTAAGAAAACCGAATTGGCTACTCTAACTACATGATCAAATTATTTGTTAGCGTCATTTAATAAACATTTTTACATCTTCTAATATAGTAGGTATCAGTCAGCGATTTGAAATACTACTGAGATTATTTAAGAGAATAAATAAAACAATATAAATTAGCTACAATATTATAACGTCAAATATTTTTCGATAACAGATATATTGATAACAGACATATATTACATTATTAATATAAATAATATATAATTAATACATATTATATATTATTAATGTATGTTTTTTAATATAAATAGTCAATGTACATTATTATTATTATATTGACGCTAGTTGAGTCAGTGCGCCTGGGCACTTCTTCATAACCCCTCTCTACGCCTTGACTGGATTATTGTTTATCACTTCATCAGACTAAGCAATAATTGACCTCAGATCTGCATACCTCCCCGAGGAGCCTGTAACCATTCTGAGTTTCGTTAAAGCGGTGTTGGTAGCCCTGTAATTTTATGCAAATAATTTCAGGGCTCTATCCTTTATATATTTTTTGATTAGTTCAATCTTGAGGTCCCTGAGAATGTCATTCGTCCTAATGTACAATGGTAATATATATTATTATAAATTTTATATATATATGTTGTTATTGCTATTTCTATACATATACATATTAGTGTATTATACATATAATAATATAATTACATTCCGAAGGCATTCAGAAGACAGATTTTAGAATGACATAAATAGATTATTAATACTTTAATCAATTTAAAATTTGCTTTTATAAAAGTTTCTCGAAATCTGCACATCCTCTCTAATATGTACTTCCCCACACTTCCGTAGACATAATAAAAGCGTACGTGGGTTGGCAACATGTTTCATTTAAATTGTTGCACATACTTGAAATATCCTTCGACTTGTTATCTCAATATGCGTCATTTCGCCTGCACACAAAAAGTTACTGACACAATAAGTGTGAAAATTTTTTACCCGGCACTATGCAAAACTAAAAGAAAAATGTTTAAGCATTTCCTGCCTTTTATTGTGGCGTAAAAAGTGCACAAATAAAGCGAAAGGAACGAAAAACTACAATAAAAACTTTCCTAAAATACACAACAAAACAAAACGTAAAAAAAAGAAAATTTTAAAATGACGCACAAAAAAATTTTGTTGGGAAAAAAGTGAAAAGCATTTTTCCCATTCATTCAAACGCGCGCCAAACGTTTTGTTGTTGATTATTTGCCGTGTAGTTGTTGGTGTTGCTGTTGCTGTTGTTGTAAGTGGCAAGAATACAAAAATATGAAAACTTTCGACAGGAAGCACTGATAAGGCCATTTTTTCTGTCCGACATGGTTGTGAGGTTTTTATCTGCTGTGGAATTTTGCTTAGAGTTTGCAACACTTTCACAATGACGTTGTTGCGTCGTCATTCATCTTGCGCTTCAATGTATGCAACGTTTTTTGTTGCTGTTATACTTAAAGCATCCTGAGATTTATTTTAATGTTTAACAATTTGTGCTCAGTGCAGCAGCATCTCAAATGAAGTGTGGATGTATCAAATTTTTACTCTTTTCACCTGAAGATATTTTTCAAATTTTTCTTTATATTTCATAGGTTTTTTCAGTTTTTTCTTGTTTCGCAAGTTGCAACTTTGTGGCAACTTTGTGGTTAAAATGCGAGTTTTTGTTTACATATTATTTGAGTGAAAGTTTTAAATTCTGGTTATTGTAGAAAAATATAATAAAATACAGTTGGCATTTTAGTGTAAATTTAATAAAATATATTATATATATTTGGCACTATTAGCTTTCTAAAAATAATAATTTAATTCAATTTATAAATAAATCAAATAAACTAAGGTTATTGCCGAAAATCCAATCTGTTCTGAAATGTAAAAATCTATAACTGAATGTTTTCGTTAAGTATGTTCTTACACTTCATCACTATTTGAAGTCAACTGGTGATATTTGACGGAATTTGGTTCCGATTATTTAGCTTAAGATGGAAGTAAATATGCCGTTTTTGAGTTACTTATAATCTCTCTTCAAAGATAGTAGAAGTTAACCGGCCATTTTGGCAGAGAGTAAGTAGTCCGTATACCATTATCATTTGTTGTCTTTTTTTGTGAATTTCAGATATATTTTTCTACTTATTCTTGTTATTAATTTCAGTTTGTCTTTTAAAATAAAATTAGTATACTTAAAAACATTTTTTTGTTATTTACATGCGCTGTATATATTAACGCAAGTATGTAAGTATATACATATATGTGATATGATAAAAGTCCAATTGAAGCCTTCAATTGCAATTTATATTGCATTTATGTTATAAAATTTGATTATAAATAATTTTAGAGAATAATATTTTAATGATTTACACAATATTTCATTTTTATTGTCACTACAATATTACAAATTTACAATGTCTTATTTATGTGCTACTTATGTTTTGACAGATATAATTTATTAAATTATAGTAGATAAATTTTTTTTTGATACAAAATTGTATATTTTTCATTTTTCCATATGAAGAGATATGTTTATTAAAGAAACAAGACAAAATGTGAATTATACATTCTTAGTAGTTTATAAATATTATATAATTTACTTCAAATATATATTAGCATATTTTAAATATGTACAAGTATGATAAAAACTATTAAGAATATAACTAAAAAGTTAATTACAAATATATAAAACTTGGCATTATATTCCAAAATAATCTAATATGAAATTCTATGTGGTTTTACACAAATGTTTTTCTGTCATTTCTATCAACAATTGACACAAAGTACAGCTTCCAAGTATTCAGAAGATCAATATTTTGCTAACGTTTAAAAGTAAGCTGTATTCAATATAGCAAAACATCTACTATTCTTTGCGACCAGTTACCGAATATCATCTACTTTATTGGGAAAATTGCGATTTTGAGAAATTCGTAAACAAAAAAGTTTATGGAGTCTACTTAAAAGTGAGATCTTCTTGTGTAACCTTAACCAGATGTTGTATTTTAGATATCACCGATGAACAATGGTTATACTACATTACTGTTTTTAGCGTCAAAGTTAATAGGAATGCCTATAGCGGTAATATATTTGAAGTTGCGCTAAAATCGTTAATAACTAAACATTTTGGTGACTATCGCACAAGACATCCACTAACTGACAATGGTTATATTACATTGATCTATATATTTAAGCTCACAGAATTTTCCACTGTTATTAGATACAAACCCGGTCAACTGCTTAGGAGGTAGGTCAAAATCTTTACTTATAAATATTAGAGGGTTGATAAATCCATTCAAGTGAATGGATAAACATTCAACAACTTCAAATTTTTGTAGCATGTGACTTGTTTGTCGACTATCATCATAGATAATCACATAACAGTTCTGTTAATAAAATGAGATTGTAAAATTAAAGAAATGAACTAATAATGAACCTAGTGTAAATTAGGTTTTTGAATGTATTAATTTACCAGTATAGAAAAAAATACTTTACTAAGTTGATTATTTTGTTATACTCAACCAACGTAGTTATGATCATTAAAACTATCTGCCTAGAAAACAAACTATACTAAGGACTTGATTTATTGAGAGTTAGTCACGCCAAATACAAAATGTTGTTGTATTCTTTATAAATTAAAAAGTTCAGAAAGAGAGAAGTGTCGATTCAAATTTAGTCACAAAGATAAGAGTTGCTCCTTTACGTTAGTAATAATTATCAGAATTATATAAAAATATATTATATAAAAATATATATATCAAAATAATAGTAAAGGTAGGAATTTGACATTTCTGATATAACTCTCTGTATAACATATCATTTAGTCATGACGAACAAGGGCATAAAATTACCGTGATCATTCGTCATATGACTGTCTGTACTATATGGCTATAAGAACTGTTCTTTGGCTCAATGAATATAATAATTTTAAAAATAATATCTATTAAAAACATAGTAAACTATACATTTTTCTATTACAAAAATATTTATTTTTATAATTATTTTCATATCATATTTTCTATTTTCCTATTTTTTAAACGAAATTCATAAACTAATTTTAAACAGCATTCCGAATATTAGACTCTTCAATACCACAAAAAAAAAATTAAATTGGATCTAAAAAAACATTTAATTACCGAAAATGTCGGAAAATGTAATTGCAAAATTGTGTAACAAAAATTCATTTTATGAGACGGACTTCTACGCGTTTTTATGTTGGTATTATATGAAGAATCAGCATTCCGCTCTGACTGATATTATAGTGAACGCAATATGTCGCTGGTGTACAATGCCAGCAACGAGGAGATCACGGTTTATGGAGATGGTAAAAGCAAAATTATTTCTTTTAATATTATAATGTGTTGAACCATGTTATACAGACAGTCATGGTCAATTCAAATCTGACTTCGTTTCTGTCAAAAACTGAGAGTGAGAGAGAAAGAAATTTCGATTAAAATGTGGTCATGTCAAAACAGTATTGCCTTAGTAATAAGTACTACTTTAAATTAATAAAATTAATAATATATAAATGTGTAAGCATATCCATACAAAAAAAATTATCTGTTATATTTAGGAACAAGAAAACAAAAAAAAAATAGTAGTAAAGGTATGGAAAATTGTAATACAATTTAAATTGTGTTATGACTCTCTGTGTTACATGTCTCTTTATCGTGACCAAAAAGAATGTGAAATTGCATTGACCATTCGTCATATGACTGTTTGTACAACATGACCTTTGAAGATGCTATTTATTTGACTATTATCATTTATCCAAAATCTTATTACAGATAAGAAATGCAAAAATGATATATGACAAAAGGAGAAAGATATATACCTTTTTGCATCCAAATTTTCTTTAAGCATTCCTCAACCTTCAACTTTTATACTGTTTCTATTACAAAATAACCCTCAACATAATTTACTCAACTAAATGCAGTTTTATAAAGTGAATAAAAATTTATGTTACACGTTTCCTGATTGTTTTAACAACCGATTGGTGTTTGTAATCCAATGTTTTCGAACATGATTTGTGGCTAAGATCAACCCAAAATATTTGCTAAAATATAGGATAATAGGATTACCAGCAAAACAACAACTACAAATTCAACGATGCCACAATATCACACGTGCTCAGATTAAAAAAAAAATATCAGAAGAGAAGAAATTAAACAAAAACAAAATTAAAGAAAAATAGTGAAAGCAGAAAGTGTGAATACATAAAAAAAGACAAAAGGAAATAGTTAAAACATGGCCATGAATTACCGTAAAAACATGACCACAACCGGAGGCAAGCAAAAAAAAAGTGTTAAAATATCAAACAAAAAAGCTGAAAAACATTGTTACGTGGGCTCGGAATCATTTAATTTACTTCACAACAACAATAACAAACCAAACAACGGATTATTTAATAGACTAGGTCCACATTCAATACAGTAGCTTGGGTGCGATGGAATCGAGCAAGTACGACCGGGGTAGGCAAACAAGAAAACACAACGACAGAAACAACAATAAAAATTGTTCAGTAACGTAAAAATCCTAAAGCCGAAATTCAGTTTATCATTTCAATGAGAAGAGCCACACTGTGCTGGCCCACCTACGACCTCATTGAGTACAATTCATTTAAGTAAATTATCGCACAGAACACAGCCAAGCGGATTTTCACTGCACGTACGTGTACCTATGGCTGCATCCATTTTACTGCAATAGGGCCCAGCGTTCCTCAACCACCAATGCAGCAGCTGTTAAATTCGTTAACTGCTGAGCGTTTCTTTTTTTCCATTTTTCATTTTGGTGGAAATTGGAGCTGCCGTGGCAAAGAATATTTTAATCCATATGCTCTGTCGTGGACTATAATGGAACGGTAAGTAAACCAAACTCGCCTTGTATTGGCATTTAAAATTATTCATATTGTTGCTGTTGGAGTTGTTGAAGTTGTTGTGTTCAGTGCGATAGGTAGTTGTAGATCGATTTATATAGTTTATGCATGGATGTTCAAGTTTATGGGTAACATGCAACGGAAAGTTTTTGCTTGATGCGGTACAGAAATTGTGTAACATTTGTTGGTTATGTTGGAACTTGGTCAGATGATTTTATAATTTTTTGTTTTTATACTTTATTTTAAGTATAAAATTTAACTGCAATTGTAGGAAATAGTACCTTGAAGCATATTGAAATAATCAAAACCACATTAAATAATTTTTGGAAATTGTTGGTTAAGTTTAAATTGATTGCAGCGGTTTTTTGATAAAGTTATTTATAGGGTCCCCTTTCAAATTTACAGAAAGTTTACACATTTCTTAGTATAATAAATGACAAAATCATTTTCCGTAAAAAGTTAATACTTCCCGTAATTATTTTTTACGACTTATTTACTTGAGCATTATAGACACGAGTCGTGCTTAGCTGCGACAAGTAGCCTCCGTCTGCCAGTCTGATCAGTGGCTAGTCCAGTCGCCATTTGGTAGTACCGAAAGTCTTTATTTTGTCGGTCATCACATCAACACCGTTTTCTACCAGGTGGCACCAAATCAAACAATTTGTAGCCGGAACATTTTCTTCTATTCGTACGACATGGCCGTACACTTCCTCTTACAATTTATTCAATAATGTGCTAGTTTATTACTTTTATGTGCATTATCCAAGTTAAGAGATCAGTCGGGAATTTTGAATTCGTAATTATTCTGCGATTATGTAAAAATCATACAGACCAAAATATTTGTTTATAGAAGTGTTGTTTTTTCCGTAGTATGTATCCAGTGGAGTGGCGTGTATAAGAAATTGTTAAGTGATAGATTCTTCCTATACAGAGTCCAAGGTAATTTAACGTGATTACATGTCATTAAAGCTTAACTCTACACTTCTTTAACAGAGGTATTGGTATATTGATGGGGAGCACTACCTATCTAAAACATCTGATGTGCTTTGGGTTAAAAGTTCCAGTTAAAAGATGTGGCTCCACATTAAATGAAAACAAATAAATAAAGTCACTTTACTGTCATATATTTGGGTTTTAGCCATAATCCTCGCTTTACGACACCATTTATTAATTAGAACAGCCGAAGCTGGGGGTCCTGATCCCTGGGGTATCAGGTTTACACCTTTGGTCGAGAAATGCAGATTAAATACTTGAAACATTTTTTTTTTTTTTAACATTTACTGATTCAGAAAATTGAGAATTATAATCTTCCAATTTTAATTCTGCCACATCTATGCGCTACTCCAAATTACAATATATAATCTATTATTATATATAGTCTTAATTTATGTACACTTTAATATCAAATTTTTTCATACGTATTTCAGGTTACAGATACCACATATATCAATGAATTAATTATATATCATATATATTATCATATATCAATGAATGAAACAAAACTAAAACATAATTAAAGACTGCATTGTAATTGTGATATTTTAAAAAATTAATAGATAATTTCATATATTATATAAAAGTGTAAAGAGATATATCAAAATAAATATACCGATATACATTAAAATACTTAAACATATATAAATTAGATTTTTTTATAGATATCAAAATATATGTCATATACAGTTATATATCAAAATTTATATACATAGATATGTGTTAAAATATATACACAGACATATATAATTGAAAACATATGTACAGGTATATATTAAAATATTTGAACATACATATATACTATATATTGAAATTAATGTGCAAATATATATTACAATATTTACACATATTGATATATATATATATGTGAATAAATAAATATATAGATACATATATATAAAAATATACCGATGTCTATGTATCAAAATTTTAATATATATATTATTATTTTAAAATTTTTCATTCTCAAGCCTTTAAGAGAAAGCAACTTCAAAAAAATCCATACACAATAGGCATAAAATTAAGTACAAAATTATCCGTAATGCACATGTGTCATTTATGAGAAAGTAAGAGAACAGAGGGGCAATGTAAATAACATTGGCAATAACGCCGTTCCCGTACTCCTCAATATGCGTGCACTTCATAACTGCGTAAACAATAAATACACTAAATTATTAGAAGCTTAAGTGGGGCAACAAAAAATAAATCCCAATTTAAACATTACAAACTCATCGACGATGGAGGGTCGACGTGGGAAGTCAGATGTGTCATGGATGGTCGTCGACAACATATTTTGTTTCGGTAAAAATAATTTTTTTTGTGCTGCCGTTTCTTATCGTTATTAAGGGTAAAAGAACACACAGACTGGTGTACTAATGAAGCGAAGTGTGGTAATAATGCTACCCTTCGAAGCTCGCCCAGAAACGTTCAACGTTACTTCAACAAATTGTATCAATGAGGAAGTGGCTGTTACCAATGAACCATGCTGATGATGATTTCTTGCCTGCTGCAGCCAAAGTTCGCGGTACTTTTTTAGTTTTCCTTTAGATGCAGACTTTCCTTCTACTACTTAAATAGTAATGAATTTTGCCTTTTTTCTACATTTTGCTTTGGTTTTTTTTATTATATTTTGTTGTTATTTTTTTGATATTGTTTTTGTTATTGTATTGTTTGGAAACATGCCTCTCAAATTATTTGCGCATTCGAGCAGCTGTAAACGATTACTCAATGTGAACGGGTAAAAAATAAACGAATACCACCTACGTTTATCTACGTTATGGCACCTAACCTGTTTGTCTGCATGTGTGCGTGCGAGAAAGTTTGTTATTGTATTGAGAGTGAGGATAAGGTTAAGTATTATCATCATGTTGGCAATACCAAACGTAGCCAATTGGCAATGTTACCAATTTCTTCCCCTTTTTCCTTTTTTATATCGTCTTTTGGCGCTTGTGGTGCTTTACATTCGACAACTCAATAAAATGTGCTTTATGATCAGCAACAACAACAGCAACAACAACAACAACAACAAAAAGCCAACGCCAAGAAAATAAAATCAAAAACAATAAGAACAAAAAATAAAACAATAGCATTAACAGTAATAGTAACAGCAACAGCATCGAAGGCATTGAATGTAAACACTTGAATGTAAACAACAACAACAACAACAACAAAGGCTGTAAGAGAAACATTAAAGCAAATGCTGATACCTTCAAAGTACTAGACTCAAATCTGAGGTCTTTTGGAGCTCTTGTGTAAATTGCTTACAGTGTTGCCTTTTAACCAAAACTGAAAAAATTCACTTTAACTGAAAACAGATGCTGCGCTTGTTGCCCCCCTTTTTCTAGCATTGCCACAATTGATTTGCAATAATTTAGGTGGCTTTTTTTTCGTTGAATTTTTACACTTTTACTATTTTCACTCTGCAAAGATACCAATTGGTGCCATTGTTTTATTGTAGGCAAAAAGTGGGAAATCGTTTTATGATAACAGTTTAAGTTTTCATGTACATGTGCCGAAAATTATGTTTTGTTTTGTTTTTGCAATATTTTGGCAATCGGTTAAGTTACTTAACCTTAAATTGAAGCAAAAATCTTAAATTTCAAGTATTGAAATTAAGCGAATAAAATTTAAACAATTTTTAATTTTATATATAATTATATAGCAGATACGTGGACAAATGGGGTTTTGAGAATTTACATTTCAGAAGAGCTGTAATAATGTTTTGCATTGTAAAAGCAATAAATTGAATTTAAGTATATAATATAAATAAGTATAATTTAAATATTTTAAATAAGAAAAATGTGCGAACATAAAAGTCAAGTACAGCTTTGGGTTAGTTAACTAAAGTGCGTTGACTCTGAACTTCAAATTTGGCAGGACACGAGTTCGATTCCTGGTACTTGCAGTCTTAAAAAATTATATATATATAATAATTAAATACAAGAATTATTTCCAATACCACTGATGATGGGTATTTGGCAATACCCGAAACAACTATATGGTCAGTCAAAAATTCAATTAATTAAAATAATGAAAATGAATTTTTGTTGTTATAGTTCACTATTGTTCAAAAAATATATTTTAAATAAGTAAATATAATTAAATATATATTAAATATATATAAAATAAGTAAACTAATATAAATATCAGTTTAAAGAACGAAATAACTACTATAAGTACCTCAAATGTGAATAGGTTGTTGAAGTATAATGATATACAAACTTCAATTTACTAAAAAATTAAACTTTGTTGTAACTTAGAAATGATTCTATTAAAAAATTGTTAGTTTTGTTGTACGTGAATTTGGTATAGTATAGAGTACCTTTTTATCCATTACGTTAGACCTGATGCTTCACTTAGTGTCGCTTGTTCTTATAAGCAAACAAATGGTGGCATCATATGATCTTAGACTTAAAGTTACTTCACACACTGGAAGGCTGCTGATTACGACGATAGTTGCAATTATTATTTCTTCAGTCCTACTCTAAGAAATATTGATCACATATCTCCCTTTTTAATTTTGACAGGAAATTTGATGTCGATTTTCTATATAGAGACAGCTGTAGGGAGGTCCCTCATTAAGAGAGAGTTTAATCAAATATACTGACAGCTCAAAAAAGGTAGTAGATTTTATATAATATAAAATATATATATATGTATATTAGGGTGCCATTAAGGTATATGGGCAATTTTTTTTTCGTAAAATCGGTTGACGGCACCCCCCAGATCGGTTCATTTTACTAAAAAAATAATCTGTGTAAAATTATGGTTCAATTGGATAAGTGGATATGGTGCCCCAAGAGCCTCAAAGATTAGAAAATAACGATTTTTTTCATAAAATTCATCTTTGATTGCTTATATCTCCGACATATTTATTTTTACATAAAAACTGTCTTCCTAAAAGTTATAGATCTATTAAAAATAAACAATTCACTCATACATTTTCTGTATTTCTAATAGTTATTGAATAAAAGCAAATACAAGCTGAAATC